TAGGTAAAAAATTTCAAAAATTTCAAGTTTTCTACATAGTAGATATCTTAATTACACCACCACTTCTCTGTATTTTCTATGAATTTTGGCAAAAAATTTCTTATTTGCCAACAAACTTCAAATTATTAGACAACCCTCTTTCAAGGACACAAATTTCATTATTTCCTTTGAATCTCAGCCCTAAAAAAGCATGAAAAACTACAGTAACCCTTGAAAACAGCAAAAAGTCCCATACCCCAAATATTTGAATTTCCCTTATCACACCCCTTCCTCCCCCTGCGACCACCGCTCTCCCCCTCCTTCTCATACGCACTCGCCCCCTCTCCCCTCCCGTGCCGTCGATAGCTCAGTTGGTAGAGCGGAGGACTGTAGAGTCAGTGGGTATCCTTAGGTCGCTGGTTCGAATCCGACGGATTTCTTTTTTTCCTTTTTTATTTAGCATGGGGAGTTGGTTTAGATGATCCCTAGATGCTTTTTCTCCTTTTTCGGCATGCGTAATCCATTCTTAAGTACTTTTTGCGCAATTGTAACCAAAACCGCCCGCGCAATTATGTTCATCCATTCGTAACCGGCATTGAATCGGCAGAATAAGAATCAAGGAGACGGCAGTAGCTAGAAAAAAGTTGTAAACATCAAAGTTGCTCAGCATAAAATTGTACACACTTTTGTAATTAGCAATTTGTCCCTAGCTACCGTAGTTTTTAAGATATGCGTCTTCAACTAAAAAACTGGATAAAAAACTGGATCCTTGTGTAGTCGCCCGATAATTTCAGTTTTTTCGCTTATTCAGTTTTTCCCACCTCAAAAAAACCAGTTTCTAATGAAACATATTTTATTTGAATCAAAAATCACCAACTTTAGCTGGAAAATTCTAGAATTTTCCAGAAAAAGTGATACAAAAATTGATACAGTAGTAGAAAAAGATGAATAAATTAAAATTCGAAGGCTTAACGACGAGTTCCGTCCTCGAAGAAGATTCCTCCGTCGATGGCGCAGTACTTTGGACAGATTCCACGCTCTCCTGGGGTTCCTGGTGGTCCGACTGGTCCTGGTTGTCCTGGATTTCCGTCGGCTCCTGGCTTTCCGTCTGGTCCTGGTGGTCCCTTTGGTCCAGGTTGTCCTAGAAAATCAGTTAGTTTTGTTTGAAATTCAATGTCCCTCAAAAAACCCCAAAAAATCGGTTTAAAACTAGGTTTTTTTGTTTCAAATTTTTTGGCAAATGAATATCTGATGGCCTAACTTTCCAAATTACAGTCCTAGGCCACCGAAAACATAATTTTTGAGCTCAGCTCATTGAGAGCTTCAAAATGAGCCTAAACACGACTAGGTTCCGTTCATTTTGAATTTTAGCGGGAGCACGCGACGCACGACCGCGACGCGACTCAAAAATTGTTTTGACCGTAACTCGGTTAGTTTTTTAGCTAGAGAAGTGAAAACTATATTTTCGAGTTCAGCTAGTTGAGGGCTTCAAAATGATTATGAACACGACTAGGTTCCGTCAACTTTATTTTTTCGAGCGCGTCGCGGTCCTGTGTCGCGTGTCCAAGCGGAAACCTCGAAGAGGGCGGAGCCTAGTCGTGTTTGGGCTCATTTTGAAGCACTAGCCGAGACAAACAAAATAGAATAGATTTCAACTGACAAAGATCGATTTTGAGCAAGTTATGATCGAAACAAAAAATCATCAAAAAATTATGGTTACAAATGTTTTGACCATAACTCGGTTGGTTTTCTAGCTAGAAAGATGAAAATTATATTTTTGAATTTCTCAAATTTTGGGCTTTAAAATGTGTCTAATCATGGCTAGATTTGAAAATTTTTGAAAATTTCGGATTTTAGGGAATCCGGGCTGTAATTCAGCCATAACTTGGTCAGCTTTGAGCGGATCGCCTCAAAAAATGTCTTGATCAATTTTTCACGCCTAATAGCTCCAAAGCAAAAGCTCACCTGGTGTTCCATCGTTTCCTGGCTGTCCGGATGGTCCTGGTGGTCCAACTGGTCCTGGCTCTCCGGTCTGTCCTGGCTCTCCCTTTTGCACTGGCTCACACACAGCTGGAAGTCCCTCGTCTCCTGGTGCTCCTGGTGCTCCTGGCTTTCCTGGTGCTCCATTTGGTCCCTTTGGTCCTTGCTCTCCTGGCGCGGCGTCGGTTCCTGGCTGTCCTGGCTGTCCGGCCTCTCCCTTATCTCCCTGATCTCCTGGAAGTCCTGGTGCTCCTGGTGGTCCTTGTGGGCATGGCTTGCATGGTGGTGGTGTGACCTCCTCGCAAGGCTTCTGTGGTGCCTTTCCTGGATTTCCTGGGAATCCTGGTGCTCCTGGCTTTCCTGGACGTCCTGGCTTTCCGGGGGCTCCTGGTGCTCCTTGTGGTCCTGGCTGGCAGCATCCCTCGCATCCGGAGTCGAAGTTTGGTCCGGCGGCCGAGTCGTCGCGGCCGTAGCGGACGGCACGGGCGGTACGGTTGGAGGAGGAGGCGGAGTCGGCGCGGAGGTGGTGCACATCGGCCCAGACGTCCTTCATGGATCCCTTACAGGTCAATGCCTCGTTGTGAAGTTGACGACGAACGGTATGGACGTAGTTGTAGACGATTGGAAGAGTGATGCATACCTGGAAGTTGATTTTTGAGAGAAAAATCCAAAAAATCCAAAAAAAATTGGGCTAAAACTAAAGGTTCTAGGTTAGCGTCAACTAAAAATGCTTTTGATGACCTAACTTTCCAAATTCCAATCCTAGACCATGGAAAACATAATTTTCAAGCTCGGCTCGTCAAGACCTTCAAAATGAGCATAAACAAGCCTAGGCTCCGCCCGTTTTTAAGCTCCTGGGAGCACGAGACGCCTGACCGCGACGCGCCTTATAATTGTTTGGACTGTAACTCAACCAATTTTTGAGCTAGAAAAATAATATATTTAGCTTTGTTTGTCAAGTCAAGAGCTTCAAAATGAGCCTACACACGACTATGATCGCCCCACTTTGAAATTTCTCCCCAGCGCACGCGACGCATGACCGCGACGCGCCTCAAAATCCAAAGTGGGCGGGGCCTAATCGTGTTTGGGCTCATTTTGAAGCAAATTGCAGTGTTAGACTCATTCTTAAGTTTCTAAAATTGAAAAACCAAAAATAAGGGGGAAACGAGGCGAAAATGATTTTAAAAGAATTTTTCAGTGTTGAAAAATTGTTTTGACTGTAACTCAGCCAATTTTCTAGCTACGAAGATAAAAATTATATGTTTGAATTTGCCAGATCTAGAGCTTTGAAATGAGCTCAAACACCACTAAATTCGGTGGATTTTGAGTTCAACTCATAGTAGGCGGAGCCAAATGGGCCGAAATTGTTTCGACTGTAACTCAACAATTTTTTATCTAGAAGCATGAAACATGTATTTTTGAGCTCAGCTTGTCGGGAGCTTTGAAGTGAGCCTAAACACGACTGGGTTCCATCCACTTTGAAGTTTCCCGGGCGCACGCGACGCACGACCGCGACGCGTCCGAAAAAAAACAAAGTGGGTGGAGCATAGTCGTGTTTAGGCTTATTTTAAAGCTCTTTTCAAGGAAAATTAAGTGGTGTAATTTTCAAATGGTGAAAATCGATTTTGAAAAAGTTATGATCGAAAGAAAATTCAGAAAAAATTTTTTTTTTAGTTTGTTTTCCAAAAAAATGTAAAAACTAACCGACAAAACGGCAATGACGGAGAAGACAACGGCCGAGTAGGCAACGAAGCGGTAGGCCTTGATTTTAGTGTCGATATCCATGATGGCTAAGCACACTTCTTCACCATGCCGATGGCTGTGCCTTTTATACCCGACCCCCTGCCCCACCCTGGACCCTTAACCGATCCGAACGGGTATTTAGGCCGTAGCGTACCTTTCTTAGACGGTTTTCGCTCTAAAACTGCCCGCGCTTCAAGTTTTTCGCCCGAAAAGGGGCGGGGCTTATCGGGGGAGATGCGCGCGCGGCACGCTAAGGGATAGGGAAATGTTCCGCGGGATGAAAAGCAGGGGAAAATGATAAAGAAGAATTAATATTATTAATTCGTGAGATTAAATGTAGAAAATCTGGAAATAATTCGAGAAAGTTTTGAAAAAATCGATTTTTTCCACAAAAATTGATTTTCAAAGTTTAAACAAGCATAACTTCTCTCTTTTCAATATTTATTTCCCGAAACGTGTATTTTCAGATTTCAAATTCTTTCGCTTCAAAATGAGCCCAATCTCGAGTAGACTCCGCCCAT